CCCTGGCCCATCTCCCCATCTCCCTGGCTCCCGATCCCGCCACCGGTCCGCCGGGGTCCCGGCCCCTGGCCCCCTGCAGGTCTCCGATTGCCCGAGGCCAGGCACTCCCCGTCCCTGACTCCTGTCCCCGGGCAGGACCAGCTCCTCGATGCCTGCCCCCAGACCCTCCCAGTGCCCTAGCCCCGCGCCCCGTTAGCAGATCCCCAGTTGGGAGCCTTTGGGTGGGCAGTTTCTCCGCCCTCGTTGACCCGCCGGAGTCCCGGCTCCAGCTACCGGCGCCGCTGCCCTGTCATCCCCCGCCCAGGCCCCTGGTCCCCTGGTCCCCTGGCACCCGGTTCCCCACCTGCAGAAAGCGCCTCCGGGCATCCTTGGTTGCTGATCCCGGGACCCGCTGTCAGCAAACCTAGACCGGCAGCTCCTAGTCCCCAGGGGTCTCTCAGCTCTCCGCCCCTTTGTCTCTCTCTTCGCTCTTGTTCCCTCCACCCTGTCCCCCAGTGCTCTTCTAGCCACCAGTTGTTCCTACTTACCCGGCTCAGCTTCCCTCCCCAGTCCTAGCTTTTTACTCCAGCCCCTTCCATTTCTTCTCTCAGCTCATCGTTTGAGGTCTCTCTTGTCCTGTCCTGCAGCCCTTCCCTTCTTGCCCAATGCTGAGCCCATCTGGCGACTGTTGCTTTGCTCTAGCCCCTCCCCGCGCCACCAAAGAGGGGGTGGATTTGGTGGGGAGGCTGGAAGTTAGAGGGAGGTGGGTGTAGACTGCTGGTCCTGTTTCTGAAGTTTAGTGACTTGACTCTGACTCTGTTCACCCTCCTGTCCTCCCTCTAAAGATTCCTATTGGTGTTTTGGTGCTAAGTCATTCTTGGGTGTTGTGTGTGGAGATGGGAGTGACTCAGGGAAGCCTCTCAGCTGGCCCCTGACTGTTTTTCCAGCCACTCTGTGATCTGGATTCACTTCAGAGGACCCGCCTACCCTCATAGTGTCTGTTTTTCTCTCACTGTTCAGTTATTTCTCAACCATCCCCACATCCAGGGCCCTTGGCCCTCTCCTTCCATCTAGGCATTTCTGGAGGTGTTGGGGGTGGGGGTAGGGGGGCAAGAGGCAAAGGTGATAATTTGCTTTTCATGTTAAACTTTTATCTCTGTGGATCTTCAAGATAAATTACACGCCTTTTGTGTTTGCTGCTCAAGAGCAAGATTTATGAAATTGATGGTCCTAATGAATGGCTTGGTGACAGAGGTGTCTGGGAGATAGTTCACCTTCTGTTGCCAAAGCAAATGATTGGATCTAATGAATATTCTGATCCTCGGATATTAGTGATAGCACTGCAAAGATGTCATGAGCTCGCTTTCACTTTGAGGTGATGTTGCTGGGTATAAGTACAGGTTCTGGAGCCAGACATTTGGGATTAACTTTGCTACTTAAAGCTCTGTGATTTAGGCTAAGTTAGTTACTTGACCATTCTGAAAGTCTCTGCTAAATGAGGATACATAATAGCACCAGTCTCCTAGGCTTGCTGTGACAACTAAATAGCATTGGTCAGGTAAACTGATTGGTATTGTGCTTCTCACATGGTTCATTGTCAGGAAATTAGAGCTGTCACTTCTGTAAAGACTGCGTATAGGGTGTAGTGGGGGCAAGGCTGTTTCTTGGAACATGGGCTAGGACTGTGCAATCTTTCAAAATCTTTATGGCCTCATGCATGCTAAACATGAGCTCTACTACTGAGCTACACCCTCAGCCCCAACATTTTCCTTTTTTTTTTTTGTGATACTTGGAATTGAACCCACTGAGTTACATCCTCAACTGTTTTTATCTTAAGACAGGGTCTCACAAAGTTCCCCAGGCTGACCTTGTTCTCGGGATCCTTGTGCCTCAACCTCCCTAGTGGCTGGGACTACAGATGTGCGCTACTTCACCTGGATAATCTTTTCTTTTTTATATGACCAAGGAGTCCTTGCCATAAACTCAAAAGTTCTGGACTGTTCTCTCTTTTATCTTTATCAGAGGAGGAAATGAAATTGAGAAGCCAAAGGAAATAATTTTCTCTTTCAAGGAGCCACTTAGCTTAGAATCAAAACTCATTTAAAACTTCTATTTTTAAATTTAATGAAAAAATTATTAGGTCTAAAGGCAAATTATAAAAGGAGACCAACACATAGAGATCAAACAAATGGACACAAGCATTAAGGATGAAAGCCTTCTTTTGGAAAATTTGCAATTGAGGCGGAAAAAGTGGTTGTGGAGGGTGAAGGGGGAAGTCCAAGGGTATTTTTAATTGTTTCTTGAGAATGCATTTTAAAGTGAGTTTCCTCACTTGTGGGATTGATAATTGGCACTCAATAAAATAATGTGGTAATGTGGTAGGAATCTTTAGAGGGAGGACAGGAGGGTGAACAGAGTCAGTCAAGTCACTAAACTTCAGAAACAGAACCAGCAGTCTACACCCACCCCCTTTTTTTGTACAGGGGATTGAACTCTGGGGCGCTTAACACTGAGCCATATCCCCCACCCTTTTTATATTTTATATAAAGACAGAGTCTCAGTGAGACCCTCGCCCCTTTTATAAATAGATGATTTCAAATATCATGAAAGTGGAAAAAGTAGTATAGTGAACCATCACAGAGATTTGACAGCTCATGATAATGTCACCTATATCCATGCCTGTTTTCCCTCTTCCAAGGTTATTTTGCAAGCAAGTCTCAGACAGTATATCCTTGTATCTATACATATTTTAATGTGTATTTCTAAAATACGGAACTCCTTGTTAAAAACACAACTTATTTTTGTTACGATGCCAATGAAAACAAATATTTCCTTACTAGTATCAAATATCTACTCCGGTTTCCATGATTGTCTTATGATTTTATTTTATAATGTACTTTTAAAACTCAGCCTCTAATTTTACATAGTCAAGTTGTTTGAAAGAGACCTAAATGATTTAAAAGACAAAGAGACTATTTTTAGTTTAATTTCTTATAAATTTTTTAGTGTATTCACAGAATTGTGCAGACATCAATTTTAGAATGTTTGTGTTACCCCAAAAAGAAGCTCTGAATTCTTTAGCGGTCACCCCTCAGGCCCCACCCCAGCCTCCTCTATGCATTTGTCTACTGTGAATATTTTTTATAAATGAAATCATGCAAGCTGTCACCTTCATGTTTGGCTTTTTTTCCACTAATGTCATGTTCTTGAGGTTCCTTTTTGTGACCAAATAATATTCCACCATGTGACTATTTCGTGGTTGGTTTGTGCCTTCAAGGGTGGATGGACATTTGGATTGTTGCCATCTTTTTGCTAAGAATAATGCTGCTGTGACACTTCACAGGTTGGTGTGTGGGCGGTTTTTCATTTCTCCTGGTCAACAGAGCTAAAAGTGGAATCACTGGGTATGTTTGTTTGGTTTAACCATCTGAGGAGCTGGGTCAGACTGTCTACCTGTCTGTAGCATTTTACATTCCCACCAGGATGGAAGGGTTGCTTCTCCACATTCTTCCCAACAGTCTTGGATAATAGACATTCTAGGGAGTGTGAAGTGGCACCTCTGTGGTTTTGATTTGCATTTCCCTAATAACTAGAGTGATACTAAGCATCCCTCCATGTGCCTGTTGGCCAGTTGTATACTTCTTTGGAGAAGTGTCTATTCAGATCCTTTGTCCAGGTTTAAAGTTGGGTTTGTCATTTTATTGTTGAGCTGTAAGAATTCTATATAATTGCTGGATACAAGCCCCTTATCAGTATATTTGCAAAATTTGTTCCTGTTGTGGTTTGAGTTGAAGGAAACCAAGTCATTTATCCTAAGGATTCTTTGCAGGATTTGGCCATTGTCTCAGTTTGGTGTGGCTTAACATGCTTTTCAGTTTCTTGTAGATCCTATAAATTGGCAATTATATGTATTTTTGAGTTAAAAATGTATGAGTAGAATCAGAGGTCCGATGGGTTCAAGGTTGAATACATCAAGTGCAAATAACCAGGAAGTGGTATGGCCCTAGATAATGCAAACACGTGATAAATGCATTTTAAAGTGAGTTTAAAGTGGCCAGAAACCACCAACATGACCATTAATAGTGGAGGGGAAAAACTTAATGTGGTATGGTCACATGACAGAAAATGCAAGGATGTTGAAAGGAATAGTGTGATTTTATACACATCACGGTGGCTACATCTTATCATCAAAGTTCTGTGGGAAAAAAAACAGAGTATAGAATTATACCTAAAATATATGCTTTGACGCCAAATAAGGCAGGCAGGCAAGACAGCATTGTGGATTCATATATGTGCATATAAGTAAACAAACTGTCAGAAAGAAAGACACCTGCTTGGGGAGACGCCTGCTGGCCTGTCTTTTTCACCTTCCCTTGTTTGGGGGCCCGTGTCTCTGGGAGGCAGTGGCCACAATTTATTTGTTCTCCTTGGAGAATTCTGTAGATAGGAATGCTTGATTGCTAGCCTCCTCTGGCTGAGGAATTCTGATTTCCAGTTGATGCTTTTGTTTCTACTGGGAAAGGAAAACTAGTAGGGCCAGAAAGCCGCTGTTGTTCCCAGGCACAGTCTTTTGTTCAGCTATGCTGGAGGGTCCTGGCTGCACCTTTCTATCCATGATTATTCTTTCAACAATTGTTCTGAC